CTGGTTCCCTATTTTCAGTTTTGTAGATTTGTTTTACTGTAAATACTTTTATATCTGGATTGAGTTCTGGGTGTTATTGTCATGTATGATAATCTCAGGTTGTTGTCTGTGCTGTTGTTGGTTCTCAGTCCAAAAAATATCCTTTAGGATTTTTTATAAAGCTGGGGTAGTCATTACAAATTCCTTTAGTTTCTGTTTATCAAGAAATGCCCTAATTTTGCCATATTGTATTTGAGGAACAGCTTTGCTAGGTGTATGATTCTTGGCTGGCAATCTTTCTTTCAGTTTTGTATATGTCATTCCATTGTCTTCTTGCCTGCATGGTTTCGGCTGAGAAATCAGAGCTCAGTCTTATTGGGTCTCCTTTGTAGGTAACTATTCATTTTTTGTGAGCTACTCTCAGGATTCTTACCTTGTCTTTGACTTTGGAAAGTTTGATTATGGTTATGTCTTGGTGGTTTTCTTTTGGAATCTATCCTGTCTGGGGTTTGTTTAGCTTCTAATGCTTATCTTCATGTCTTTTTAGAAGTTAGGGAAATTTCCTTCCAATAACTCTTGGACAATTTTCTCTCTGCTTGTCTCTTTCTGTTCTGGAATTCCAGTCACCCAAAAGTTGTACCTCTTCATGGTGTCCCACATAAGTCTTAGGCTTTCTTTGGATTTTTTGAAATTCTTTTTTTCTGATTGTTCTTCTAGTATACTAGTATTGAGAGATGTATCGTCAAGCTCACTAATTTGGGCTTCCATTTCTTGGAAGCTACTCCTTTGCCCTTTCAATGTATTGTCCATTTCCAAGATCTTAGTATATTAATCTTCTGCATTTCTAATTGTTGGTTTTGTATTGTTTCAAAATTTGCATTTATTTTGTCTGTTTGTTCTTGTAGTGTTTTCATGAATTCTGAAGATTTTGTTGTTTTCTCCTTGCTTTCCTCAATCTTTCAATTGATCCTTTGGTGGCGGTTGTGGTTATGTGCCGTGGAGTCAGTTCCGACTCATAGTGACCCTGTACAGGGTTTCCGGGGCTATAAATCTTTACAGGAGCAGAAAGCCTCATCTTTCTCCCGTGGAACAGCTGGTAGTTTCAAACTGCTGATCTTGCGGTTCACAGTCCGATTTGTAATCACTATGCTTATCATTCTTTTGAATTCTTTTTCACTTTGTTCTACTATCTTTTCTTCTTCTGAAACGTTTTCTGTATTTTGGTCATTTGTTTGTGCCATTCTCTCGTTTCTTCATGTGAGCTAAAATTATTTGCTGTCTCCAAGACATTGTGGGGTTGTCGTATTTGTAGAAACAAACAGTGCAGTTGTTGGATCCAAAAGGGAGAAATATCTGGTAGGCTCCTTCAATTCAAGGTGGCCGTGGAAGAGATGTGAAAGCAGAGTTCCTTGCCCTAGATGGAGTTCCTATTGGCATCAGTGTTATCTATGTTCAGGGCATTCAATCTAGAAGTAGTTTGAGGGGCCCCTTGATGAGGTTGGTTTCAGTGTCTCTTAGAACCACAGGAAAGCTGGGGGCAGGGTGACTGGTAAAATATTGGTCTGTTGACTCTTTGGGTTTTATCCAGACACCAAAGTGGCACACCAAAGCAGAACAGCCAGTCCCCACTTCACGCTGGCATGGCTCCCAACTACTGGGCTCTAAACTCCTAGAGAGCAGGGTCTGTGCTAGGAGTGGATGAGGGTGGGAGCTGGCCATACTTCTAGTCACCAGAGAGCTTGGGGGAAAAGAAGAAATCACACCTTTTCTGCCGCCCATGTGAATCTACTTTGCCAGGGCTCCCTCTGTTGCCAAAGCTGCTCACAAGATGGTTGAGTCACATCTGACCAGCTGCTCACCAGTCAGTCTCCCACTCTCAACGTCCCTGCTCAGCCTCTCCTCCCTGCAAGCACTCCATTCTCCTCTCTCAGCTTGCTTCTGAAGTTCAGGGTGCTAGAATTTTCATCTGTGTCTGTTTTAATTTTGTTTCTTGTATCTTTGTCATAGAGGGTCCATGTAGTGCGTCTGTCTAACCCATCATTTGACCGTAGTACCTTAGTTTCAATTATTGCAATCCCCTCCATGTAACATAACTTAGATCACTTCCTCTCTGTAATTCTTGTTTCCTTGCCACCCTTCTTTCCATCCCTTCTCAACTTTGTCCTTAGGTAAATGTTACCCTTTTGATCTCAAGTGGTTGACCATTCCATGGTAAGCATACCTTACTCGTGTTGTTGTCCTTGTATATATACCTATCTACCATTTGGTTACGAATTGGGCTGCGAACCTTAAGGTCAGCGGTTCGAAACTACCAGCTGCACCACGGGAGAAAGATGAGGCTTTCTACTCCCGTAAAGATTTACACCCTCGGAAACCCTATACAGGGTCGCTCTGGGTCGGAACCGACTCGATGGCACATAACAACAACAACAACCTTTTGGTTGAACATTGAGCCATGAGGGTAAGTTCAGTTCCAGCCCTGAAAGATGGTAACAGTTTTTTGGTATCCTCCAGGCATTTGGCTTGTTGAAGGCCAAATATCTGCTTTATTGAGAAAATTACCCAGTTTTAAGAGGAAAATGCCTGAAGAGTTTCACCAGAGAGTCCATCACAAAATGTTCCTGCTCATTCCTGTCATCCAACAAGGGTAATTTTGCAAGAATTTCGATGGAAAATCATCGAGTCCTGATTTGACTGCATCTGACTTCTTTTTGCTTCCTAATCTTAAAAAATATCTAGTGGTTGACTTTGCAGTCCAGGAGCGGAGATCCGTGGGACCATCAAGAGAGAAGAGCAGAGTGTAGGATCCTATCCAGAGAACCAGCCACACCAGAGATGGAGGTAGAGACGATGACATGGAGAGATGGAGTGGCTGGGGACTCTGGAGTCTGGGAGGGAGAGGATTTGTGTATTGATGGCCAGGGAGCAGGCTTGCAGGGTGTACCCTTTGGTTGTTTGATGATGCATGCAGGGAATTGTAATCATTGCAATGAAATGAAATAAAATAGGATAAATGTAAAGCTAATGTTCTCCCATGTAAACTATCACATAATTCACAATTTAAAAAAATTTTTAAGGGCACCCATTTTTCTTTGGTTAATAATGTAAAAAGACTGCATTAATATGGCTAAATTCCCAGGACTCTCAGTTCTTTAGAATGAACTAAATGGTTAGAATTATCACTTAAAGTACCTTGATCTTGAAGGTGCTTATATTGAGACATAAAGTTTATATTTTTATCTTTTGATTACATTTTCCACAAACTTTCCCCTCCCCCACACTTGTATTCTCCCATTTTACTTTTCAAAGAATTTTCTATAGCAGCAGAAACAATACATATTGAGCCCCTATTGTATATGGTTGTTCCTGCTTTTGAGAAACTTACAGTGTATCAGGGAGAGGGGTCCCACTGCTTCAAAACCCCAAAAAAACAAACCATTGCTGTCCAATAGAATTCCAACTCTTAGTGACCCTATAGGACAGAGTGGAACTGCCCCCAAAGTTTCCATAAATCCTTATAAAAGCACACTGTCACATCCTTCTCCTGCCTGCAGCTGGTGACCTTTCGCTTAGCAGCCCTGGGATTAACCACTGCATATCCAGGGTTTCTCCAACTAATCCACTAGTCCTGTGAGGCAGACAGGGATGAAAACAGAGGTCGAAAAGGACAGAGGAATGCAAACGCAAGGGCAGTGCCCAAATGTGAAACAAAGATTGATTTCCTTCTTCTAGTCCCTGATGTGTGATGCTGTAGGATAAGCACTGGACTGCTAACTGCAGGGTTGGCAGTTCAAATACACCAGCTGCTCGGTGGGAGAAAGATGAGACTTTTTGCTCTGGTAGAGACTTACAGTCGTGGTCACTATGACTCAGTGGCAGTGGGTTTGAGTTTTTCTAGTTCCAAAAGGTGCATGTCTGTCCAGCCACAGTATCCAATTATTGGTCATTTATGTGTCTGTTCTGGTGTGGCGTTGTGGGTTAATGCAAAGTCAGTTTGAACCACCAGGCCGGAGGTTCCTCACCAGCTGTAAACTCTATGCAGGGTCGATATATGTCAGAACCGACTCAATTGCACCCAACAACAACAAATATGTCGTTACAGCCAGTCAGTCATCCAAGAGCATACCAGTTTCAGTTCACCTGCTACATCCCTTTCGCAGCAGGGATGTCTACTCCCTCACTAGTCTGTAAACTGGAGCTGTCGCATCATGCTTGAGCAATCGCCCTGACTGGTCCTGAAGTCCCCAGGGCGGTGAAGGCGGGAAGCCCAGGGAAGGTTACTAGGCACCTGCTGATCTAGCCCGGATTGGGTCCCGCCTCTGGCAATGCCACAGCCTTAACCAATCGACAGCCAAGTCTCTCGGTAGGCTCCGCCCCAGAAGAGCCCGTGCTCCCGCCCCAGACTGCCGGGTACTTGCAGTTTGGGGGCTTGCGGATAAGGATAAAAGGCGGAAATTGAGCTAGCGCATTTACACCCGAGCCTCTAGGTCACTGTTAGAAAGAGCCCTGACGAGAAAGCAGAGGCGTGTGTGACCTTGGGCATCAGTCTTTCTAATCTCACAATGAGGTTGTCGGATCCCGAGGAATGTGTGTGGTGCAGGGAAGAACTGGGGTGACCCTTTGGGCGGAACCAAGTGAACGCGGTTATCTGTCCACAGGGAAGTGAGAAGTGAGAGTAGGGGAGGGCGTGGCGGTCTTTGCTGAAGGGCGGTGAGTCACTCTCCGCAGACCCGCCCCCGTCGTGTAGGCCCCGCCCCCAGCCCTCAGTCGCCGCACTGTCTTCGCGCGTCCCCTTGCAAGCCGGTCCTGCGGCGCCTAGAGATCGACGACCGACCGTGCTCTCTCCCTCTACGCTCCCTCCACCAGCCCACAGACTGAGCCGTTCGCACTCGCGTGTTTTCCCCGCGGCCCGGTGAGCCCGGCCCCGCCCCGCCCCACTCTTGCGCCCTCTCTACTTGCTCCTGCCCCCGGCTTCTTCGCCTGCTCCTCCAGCCACGCAGCTCCGCGTGCTTCCCTCTCAACTTTTTCTCTTCTCAACCTATTTTGTAATATGTCTTCCTTCTCTGTTCTTGTTCTTTCTCTTTTCCCTTATCCCTTCTCTGTCTCCCTTTGTTCTTTCTATCTCGCATTAATACCACAGCCACCTGTCGACCATAATGCCCAATTCCACCTTGGATGGGACCCATCGATTCTCTCAAGACCAGAATCACCCTGACACCCCCAATCTGGAGGCTGCGGGCCTGCGTGTTGGCAGCTCCAGTCTTGTGCCCTAACACCTTCCCTGGGGCTGTTTCTGCTGAGAGGTGGCCCTAAGCTGCCCTTCCCAGCTGTTCCAGCCTTCTCGCAGCCTTGGCCTTGACCCTGGACGGCTCCCAAGGAACATCTGCTCCATCGTGCACTCATTTTAATACTCCCACTAACCAGAAACTGCTGGTTGTGTCCGGCCATGCTTATCTAGAATACTGAGTGTCACCAGGGCAGACGTCTGTAAGAAAGGCAATGTGTGATAGATATTAAGAGAGCAGAGCGGGAAGGAGGACTCCTGGGTTCATTCCTCCCATTGATCCCTGCATGAAATAAGTCCTGTTTCCTCCTTACCTCCAAGTCAAGGACTGAGTAGTAGTGTGTGCCTTGAGCAGGTAGCCTTCCCTGCTGGGGTGTGGTCCTTTAAGGTGGATGTCCCTTTCTAAACTTGCTTCTGCCCTCACCCACAGGAAACATAGTATGACCATTAGGTGTTACGTCTCCCAGCCATTTTCTATGGAAAACCAAAGAGATCAGATCATGATTGCCACTGGCAGCTTTGAAGAATGGGACGTCTTTAGAGAAGCTTGATCTTGGAGGCCTCATCGTGAGACCTTACAAGTCCGGGTAAGATTCTAGTCTAAGGAAAGGGGTCACTTACTGCCTCCTAGCCCTGAGCTGGGGGAAAGTGGATTAGAGGACATTAATAAAAGTAGCCAACCTGGTGTGGCACTGTGTCTGATGCCCAGAGAAGAGATACCACTTGCCTGGACTTTCTTTCTCAGAGCTGTTGGTATGAGAAAACTTAGCTGTGGAATTTCCTTCTGTAAGATCCTGCCTATGCTTAGTGCTAAGCATAAGAAATAAATGAGGGGCAAGAGGAGCAAAGCAAGTAGCTTAAGCTTTGGAACCTGTAGGTGAGACTTTCCTCATGGAAGTAATGGTAGCTATCTCACAGAGTTGCTCTGAGGAGTAAGTGAGCTAATAGATGCCCCCAGCAGTGGGGTGGGAAGAGGTATAGAATACCCCATAAGCAGTGGGGGTGTCAGAGTAGGGAGAACTTGAAGGTGGACTGGGGAGTGTGGGAGCATCTCACCACCTGTTATGCTATTTGAGCATCCACCTTCACTGAGCCTCCTGTGGACCAGGCTCTGAGGAAGCATGTAGTGAGTAGACGAGAAGCCCAGGAGGAAGAAGCTGGGTGAGCTGTTTGTTTCCATGGATTTCTGTGTTTATAGCTGACTCCTACCACATCCTCTCACCAAGGACCAGTTCTTTCCTCCTGGGCCCCAGTGACAGAGCCAGCCAATCAGCTGCTCCTGTGAAATCAGAGAAGCAGGTGTCCCTCCCCCACTTGGGTGCTGGGCTCACTTCCTCCCTGGGCAACTCTGAGAACAAAATGGAGCTCCTGGTTTCCTGTGTCATTCTTCATAACCTCTAACCTACTCTTTCCCATCCCCACCTCTTCTTTGGTGAAGATATTAATCACCTATGTCGGAGGAAAGGAAACTGCCACAGAGGGAGGGCACTTTCCCAGTGTCACTCTTTAGGCCATTGGAGAGAGAGGCCAGGGCCACCCCCACACTTACCCTCAGCTGTAAGAATTGCCCAGCTTCCCTGAGAGTCCAGCTAAATGTTACCTTGTTGAAGAAGTCTTTTCTGATCATCCACTTTTCCCTGGCTACTTCCTTCTACATTTCCAGAGTATACCCTTCAAGGCCCAAATGCCACTTGAATCACCTGCCCATCCCCCCAAGCCAGACTGAAAGGTTGGCCTGGTCATCTGCTCCTATGCAGCTGACCATCTAGAAAACCCTGTTGAGCAGTTCTCTTCTATCACATGGGGCCACTGAGTCAGAATCTAACAACAACAGGGCAGATAGTATGTCTCCTGGGTCTCGGTGAATTGGTGCTCTTACTGAAAGCAGCCTTACTTCAGGAATGACTAGAGAACCCTAAACTGCAGGTCCAGGGGGGAGAAATAGACTGAGGGACTTGGTCATCTTGTCCATTCTCTTTTAGACTTAATTCCAGACCCATAGGAACCTCCCCTAGTGGCCAGCCCAGGGCGTAAGCCTGTGGCCTTGCATGGCCATGTGAAGGCTTGCCTTCCTGGTAGTCCATCAGTCAGATCCCCAGATGCTGGGGGTGTGGGCGCATAGTGAATGCTCTACAGCCTGCAGACAGAGGCTGGCCTAGTGGCTGTTAGTCAGGAAGCACTAGGACAGCCTTGATCCCTGTCCTCATAGTCAAAAGGAGGGAACTGTTGGCAACGTGAGGACACCTCAGATAGGAATTGCCTCTCTAGCTCCACTTACATACATCCAGAATGCACTCCAGTATTCCCTTAAGAGGCTGCTCTGTGTCCTTGCTTAGGGAGTTGGTGCTATCAGAGAAGGGGGGCAGGGAGGGGTCAGATGGTGATGGAGAGGGCCTGTGAAAACTGCTGCTGATATGTTTCTCTTGTCTTAGATTCCGGCAGAGTTTCTCCATCTCGTCTTGTTGCTGACTGAAAGTGCCCCCTTCTCCTATTTTCCATCCCCTGAGAGGTAACAGGAAATCAGAGTCATGGTTGGGTTCAAGGCCACAGATGTGCCTCCAACTGCCACTGTGAAGTTTGTGGGGGCTGGCACAGCTGCTTGCATTGCAGATCTCATCACCTTCCCCTTGGATACTGCTAAAGTCCGGCTGCAGGTGAGCAGATGACACCTGGGGGTCCTTATGGCATCTAGTCTCCTTCCTTCCCAAGGAGACAGATGAGGATGGCAACCTGCTTATCTCTATAGCCACCCTATCTTGGCCTTGCAGATCCAAGGAGAAAGCCAGGGGCCAGTGCGGGCCATGGCCAGCACTAAGTACCGTGGCGTGCTGGGCACCATACTGACCATGGTGCGCACGGAAGGCCCCCGCAGCCTCTATAATGGGCTGGTTGCCGGGCTGCAGCGCCAAATGAGCTTCGCCTCAGTCCGCATCGGCCTCTATGATTCGGTCAAGCAGTTCTACACCAAAGGCTCTGAGCGTGAGTATGGAGATGGGCCATGTGCTCCTTGGCCTATTCTTCCAGGTGTTGATTGGTCCTAGTTCAATTTAGCATTAATAATGTCTTTAGGCTCCAAAATCCTGGGAGGGTCAGAGATACTGAGAAGTTGGTGGGGTCCTGAATCTCCTAATTGTCCCAGGACATTCCTCACAGCCACATGAGAGTGGGTGGTATCATCCCTGTGATGGTGGTGTGGTTCTGTGCCATCGAGTCAGTTCTGACTCAGCAATCCTGTATTGGGTTTCTGAGGTTGTAAATTTTAACAGGAACAGAAAGTTGCTCCCGTGGAGCAACTGATAGATTTGAACTGCTGACCTCTAGGTTTAGCAGTTCAATTTATAATCCACTACACTCCCAGGGCTCCTTCATCCCAGTGTTACAGATGAAGAAACAGAATTGAAGCGGGGGTACTCGGCCAAGGACACATAGTGGACCAATACACTAACATTTCACCTCTTTCGAAAACCATGCTACCCCTTCATCTTAAATATGAAGAAACTGAAACCCACCCCCATCCCACCTCCCAAAAAAAAGGTTGACTTCCCCAAGGTCACATGGCAGGAGAAGAAGATCTCAGAAGAGAACCCAAGGCCAGTCCTTGGAAAGGCCACTTCCCGCTGAGCCTTGGTTTTCACATTTGTCAGATGGAAATGATTCTGATTCCTCAGGGCTGTTGAGCAGATTAAAGAAAATGACAATGCTTTAAAGGAAAGAAGCACTAAGTATCATTTTAGTCTTATTCCTTGCTTTGTCCTATAATATGTAGCAAGTAGTGGACATTCACAGTGGTATTTTGTTTGATGTGAGGAGTTGTTAGAGAGAGCTGGTCTGGACTCTACTCCTGCAAGACAGAGGTTACAGTCATGTGGCTTTGGTGTGGAGGGGTGAGGTGGAAAATGAGTGCAAGCCCGGCTGACCACTGACCTCAAGGCTTGCCCACAGATGCTGGCATCGGTAGCCGCCTCTTGGCAGGCAGCACTACAGGTGCTCTGGCTGTAGCTGTGGCCCAGCCCACAGATGTGGTAAAGGTCCGGTTCCAAGCTCAGGCCCAGGCTGGAGGTGGCCGGAGATACCAGAGCACTGTGAATGCCTACAAGACCATTGCCCGGGAGGAAGGGATTCGAGGACTCTGGAAAGGTGTGTATCAGGCATCTCCTTTCCCCGTCTTCTTCCTTCAGTTCCTGACCTCATTTAGGCTCTCCTTCCTTTAGGGACCTCTCCCAATGTGGCACGTAATGCCATTGTCAACTGTGCTGAGCTGGTGACCTATGACCTCATCAAGGATACCCTCCTGAAGGCCAACCTCATGACTGGTGAGTTAGGGTAGATGGTGTTGGGTCTTGCCCTTCTCCCAACCAAGCAAGGAATATGGAAATCGGGTTGCCTGAAGCCCACATCTTTTTATCCTACTGCCCTTTTGCTTGTGAACTGAGTTTCTATCTCTAACCTGCCCTATTGATGCTAGCTGGGATGAAGCTCCCACTTCACAGATGGAGGAACCAAAACTAGATAGGTATAATGAGTGTTTTAGGCCCTTGGGAGTCAGCCCTGCTAAGACCACCAGGCCCCTTTGTTGTTCGGTACTGTCGAGTCGGTTCCGACTCACAGCGACCCTGCATAGATAGTTTCCAAGGAGCAGCTAGTAGGTTTGAACCACCAACCTTGTGCCTTGTGGTCCAGTGCTTATCCTACAATGCCATGCTTAGCTACTTAATTGTCTAGGCCCTTGGTTTTTCTTCTGGAATGATGAGGTGAGGAGTCCTAACTTCCTTACCTGTTCCTTCTCCCTGGCAGATGACCTCCCTTGCCATTTCACTTCCGCCTTTGGGGCAGGCTTCTGCACCACCATTATTGCCTCTCCTGTCGATGTGGTCAAGACGAGATATATGAACTCTGCCCTGGGCCAGTACAGCAGCGCTGGCCACTGTGCCCTTACCATGCTCCAGAAGGAGGGACCCCGGGCCTTCTACAAAGGGTGAGCTTCTGATTCACCACACCTGTCACACAGGTGGGAGACCACCACCTGGAACTAAGTAGCAACCAAGTGTCAGACGATTTCTGATCCTGGTCCTGATATTAGACAGGCATTCACCCTGTTTTCATCCCTATTTTATGTTCTTGTTAAGGACCCTGGGGTCAATTTTGCCCATAGTGCCCCCATGTGACGATAGAATGGTCTCATAGGGTTTTCTAGGCTGTAATCTTAGATTTGCATAGCCTCAGACCACCAGCCTTTTAGTTAGCAGCTGGGTGCTTAACCATTGCACTAGCAGGGCTTCCCCTTATTTTATAGATATTTCATTGAGATTCAAGAGAGAATACTTGCTCATAACCACATAGCTGTGAGGCTCAGTTCTGGGGCCCTCCCAGACACTTTTGGGACAGAACCACCGGGTTGGACTGGATGCCAGGGCCCAGTGGGATGAGCAAGAAGTAGAGTTCTCCAGCATCACCCAGGTGCACCCTGTAACCTGTGTTTTCTCTCCCCAGGTTCATGCCCTCCTTTCTTCGCCTGGGATCCTGGAACGTGGTGATGTTCGTCACCTATGAGCAGCTGAAACGGGCCCTCATGGCTGCCTACACTTCCCACGAGGCTCCCTTTTGAGCCTCTGCTGCTCACTTCCGCTTTGGCCCCTCCCAGGCCCTGCTTTGCTTTTCCTCCTTCCCTTCCCTCTTTGTCTCTTCTTTCCCCTCTTGCCACCACCTCCCTTCCCTCTCCCGACATCCTCACTTCTCCTTCACACCTCATCTCCCCATTGTTCCTCAGCCCTGAGGGAATTGATCCCATCCTGGCACTAGCCAGGATACCAAACCTTGAAAAGTTCAGCCTAAATTTTCTACCTGTCCCCTACTCCCCAGCCCGGCCAACATGTCACCCATAAAGCAATCTCAATCTTGGTGTCTCCTCCCTCTTTTGGAGCTGTTACCAGAAGTCTTGATCCAATGGGCCCATTTGGCATCTGGTGGGCAGGGGAGGATCCACTTGATTTCAGAAGGGGAGTGTGACTCACTTTCTACCTCCACTGTCCAGTCTGGGGCCCATGGACATCATCCAGCCCATTCCTCTCTCTGGACTCAGGGCCTGGGCTGAGGTGGCAAGTATGAAGGGCAAGAAAAAAGCCGTGGTTTTGCTATCAAACCCCCACTCCCCACTTCACCCCCACTAGACCAGACCAGCTTACACTCACCGAGTTCCTGGTACTTCAGTGCTTGTCTTTCCTGTAACATGAGCTCTCCTTCACCCCCACTAGCCTCGGGACTGTTGACCTACAAAATGAGAGGCCCTGTGCTCTGCATCTCCAATCTTTCTGGGAAGATTTAGAGGACTCTTAGATGCCACGGGCTTATTATATTCCACTGTGGTGCTATAGGATAAGCACCAGACTGCTAACCTCAAGGCTGGTGGTTCAGACCCACCAGCTGTTCTTTGGAAACCCTGTACTGGGCTTAATAACAACAACCTCTGCAAAGCCCCAGATTAAGTGAGAGAGCAAGTCTGGCCACCTTCCATCCACCAGTCACACCCTTGAGGGGAAGTATAACTCAGCTGGGTGGGGCAGTTCTCGGTTCAGTGGAGGCTGGGTTCAAGCCACAGGGCCGGAACAAACATCCGGACTCTGCCTGAGGATACTTTCTATTTGGAGTCTCACCCACTTCTCTCTGGGGCGGTCCCGGTTCCTACCACCTGTCCTGGGTCAGAAAAACGGTTGATAAGTGCTGCCAGGAGTGGCTGGTGAGCTTGAACCACTGACATTGCTGTTCAAACTGACCTTACAGTCCAGCACATTAACCTGCAGCACCATACCACGTGGGTCGGGTAATAGATGTCTGAAGACGCTGAGGGCTGAGACAGGTCATACAGGCAAGGACAGAGCAAGCAAAGACTCAGGAATCCCTGTAGCTGTGGAGCCAGGCCCAGAGACCATGACTCCTCCCTCTTGTCCCACAGCCTAAATCATATGATGTCTTCCCTCAGTGCTCGGGCAAGGGGACCAGAATGTATCTGGAGGAGGAAAGAGGACCTAGGATTTTTCAGCTAGCTTTTTATGTTTTGACAGATAAACCTCAGTGCCCAGTAGGACAGAGTTGGGTGCTGTAAGGCAGAAAGCCAGATTGTGGGTGGCAAGCAGTCCAGTCTAGCTGTTTTCTTCACTAAGCTATATGGTGTCAGCATAAAGGAGGACCTGGCCATTGTGCCTGATTATTACCAGTTACCACTGCATCAATTTTCACTTGGGTCAATTCCATGTGTCGTGCAAACTTTTGACATGCTCAGTTGCAAACCAAAATGTTGGCCATTGGAGTTCAACCCGAGGTGCTTCAGAAGAAAGGCCTGGAGATGTCGTTCTAAAAATTCAACTACTGAAAACCCTATGGAACACAGTTCTGTACATGGGGCACCCTGAATTGAAGTGGGATCAACTTGACAACTTTTTATTTGGGACTTATGTACTTAATTTAAATATTAATCCCAAAAGACTGGTTTATTTTATACTGGAGGAAGTGGGCAGTGCATTGTCCCCAGCATGCTAATAGGCTGGCCAGAAGTATGCACGGTCAGCTGGTTCTAGGCATGCCCCTAAAACAAGCTCAGGAAGGTAACGGGCCACTAGAAAAGTGATGAATAGGTAGGTCACTTGATCTCAATCTGTAACGCCTAGAACATGGACATGGTAAATTTGGGTAAATTAGCATTGAGGTAAGGAGAGGGATCTCCTAAAGGTCTTTCCTACTGGGAGTTTTAGAAGTTGGCTGTGCAGGCATCACAGTCTCCACCCTCTTGGCTTGCTCTCAAACAGCTGCACCTGGTACTGTTAACACTCAGCATGAACACTTCAGTTTTGTGTTCTTGCAGTAGTTACCATGTTTGAGCCATTGTTACAGTCTGTCAGCCCATCTCATTGAGGGTTTCCGGCTTGCCTACCTGGTACCAAGACACTATGCCCTCCAGGGACTGTCCCTACTGATTGAATATCCAAAGTAAGTGAGACAAAGTCTCATATCCTGCCTTCTAAGGAGCATTCTGCTGTACTTCCAAGACAGATTTATTCATTCCAAGAATCCCTGGTGGTTACCATAGATTAAGTGCCGGGGGCTAACCAAAAGGTGAGCAGTTTGAACACAGCAGCTGTTCCATGGGGAAAAGTTACATGCTTTTATAAAGATGTATAGCCTGGGAAATCCTAGAGAGCAGTTCTATTCCATCCTGGAGGGTCACTATGAGTCACAGGCAACTTGACAGTGGATTCTAGTTAAGTGCTGGTTCAGTCGGTTCCGGCTCATAGAAAACCTCTATAGGGTTTCTGAGGAGTGGTTGATGAGTTTGAACAGCTGACCTTGCAGTCGAGCACTTATCCTAGTGCTCTGTGGTATATAGAGTATTCTTTGCCAACATCAGTTCTTCAGTCATCCTTATTCAGTTTCCAGCTTTTGCATGCATATGAAGCGACTGAAAATACCATGGCTTAGGTCAAGCACACCCTAGTCCTCAAAGTGACATCTTTGCATTTTTAACACTTTAAAGCAGCTGCTTCCATGGGCATTGATTGTGGACCCAGGTAAAATGAAATCCTTGACAAATTCAATATTTTTTCCTTTTATCATGATGTTGATTATTGGTCCACTTGTGAGATTTTTTTTTTTTTTAAATCCATACTGAAGGCTGTCGCCTTTGGTCTTCATAAAAGGGTTTCGTATGTCACAATATTACAGGAGATCACCAGGTCTTTTCTCACTGAGGACCTGGTAGATTCAAACCACTATCCTTTTGGTTAGCAGCCCGGCATTTAACTGAACCCTGGTACTACCCGGGGTCCTTGATCCCTACTGTTAGGTCAGGAGTTTATGGACAAGGGAGATGATTTGCCCAAGGCCACCTAGCTGAAAAATTGTATAGATGGCATTCAAATACAGGTGTGTGTCTGACTCCAAAGGCCACTGCACTCAGATGCTTCCTAAAATCCTGGTCTCCGGGTTCCACATCTCAGGGTCTGCTGCTGCTTCTCTCTGATGGCTGACAAGTACTACTGACCCTCAGTTCAAAAAGAAATATTACTGCCATTCAGTTGGTTCTGACTCAGCAACCCTGGTAAGTTTGAATTGCCAACCTTAAAGCTAAGTGCCATCGAGTCGGCTCCAACCCATAGTGACCTTGTATAGGATATCAGAGGAGTGGCTGGTGGGTTTGAACCACCGACCTTGTGTCACATCAGGACTCTGTACTAAGCTAATATAAATTATGGGATTCCAAGTAATATGGGTAACATGGGGGCCTTTTATGGCTACTCAAGTCACTCCACGAAGGTGGTGACCCACTCTGTCCATAAGTCTGGACCTATCTGTAGCCCACACTCAAGACTCAAGAGGGAGAATTTTCCCTTTTGCCGTAGCATGGAAGAAGTGCATAATATCATCATTGTTGGCTGGTGGAAGGTAGATTGGAGAGGCAAGTGTGGTCTGCACAGGCCCAATGTCTAGAGACTCCCTCTGACCTTCAGAGGCAATGATGTAACCCTTCTAAGTAGAGGTCACTAAGCACTTTCACATCAATGATCTCACTTAATTTTCACAAGCCAAGGAAGTGGGGTTTACAAGCTATGCTTTATTCACAAAACAGGCTCAAAGACTGATACCAATTCTACTTAAACTATTCCAGAATATAGAAAAGGATAGAACACTCCTGGGTTCATTTCATGAAGTGATCATAACTCTGATATCAAAACCAGGCAAAAAAATTATAGTCCAATATCTCTCATGAACATTTGTTGTTGTTAAGGTGCTGTCGAGTCGGTTTTGACACTGTACAACGGAATGCAACACCACCCAGTCCTGCGCCACCTCACAACTGCTGCTATGCTTGAGCCCACTGCTGCTGCCACTGTGTCAATCCATACTTCCAACTTGAAGGGCTCATCTCCAGCACCGTATCTGACAATATTCTGATGCTATTCATCATGTTTCAGTATTCAATATTCTTGTGCTTTCTGACAGTGTTTCACTTCTATTCATAAGGTTTCCAGTGGCTAAGCATTTGAAAGTAGTCCACTTCTCCTTCTTGCTAGTCTGTCTTAGTCTGGAAGCTCAGCTGAAACCCGTCCACCACGGTGACCCTGCCAGCATTCAAATACCAGTGGCATAGCTTCCAGCATCAAAGCAACATGCAAGGCACCACAGTGCGACAGGCAGACATCTCATGAAAAGATGGGAAAATTCTCAACAACATATCAATAATAATAATACATCATGACCCAAGTGGGATTCATACAAGGTATGCAAGAATGAATGGTTCAGTATTAGAAAAATAATCAACATAACCCACCACATAAATAAAACAGGAAAAGAGCCACATGATCATACTATTGATGCAGAAAAAGCATATGATGAAATTCAACACCCATTCCTGATTTTAAAAAAAACCAACACAACAAAATAGGAATAGAAGGGAAATTCCTTAACATAATTATGGGTATATACAAAACCAATGGTGTCCTAGTGTGGTGCTGTAGGATAAGTACTGGACTGCTAACCATAAGGTTGGTGGTTCAAACCCACCAGCCACTTTTCAGAAACCCTAAACAGGGACACTATAAGTTGGAACTGACTTGACGGCACTTAGCAGTTAACATTACTCACAATGGTGAAAAATTTAAAGTGTTCCCCTTGTGAACAGGAACTAGACAAGGAAGCCCTTTATCATTACTCCTACTTAATATAGTGCTGCAAGTCTTACCAGAGCTATAAGATGAGAAAGGAAAATTAAAGGTATCCAAATTGGCAAAGAAGTAAAACTCTCAATAGATGATATGATCCTATACCCAGCAAATCCCAAAGACTCAGCAAGAATATTATTGGAACTCATTAAAAGATTCAGCAAAGTGTCAGGGTACAACATCAACCTATACAAATTAGTCAGATTCCTTTACACTAATACAGAGAGCTCTGAAGAGGAAATTAAGACAATTCTATTTATAATACCCACTCAAAAGATGAAATACTTAGGAATAAATCTAACCAGAGAAACAAAAGACCTAGACTAAGAAAGCTACAAATCACTACTACAAGAAACCAAAAGAGATCTACAGAAATAGAAGATGTTGCCAGGCTCATGGATATTGTTTGCTGTTAAGTGTTGTTGAGTTGCTTCTGACCCATGGACACACTGTATGGGGTTTCCAAGGAGCAGCTGGTGAGCTTGAGCCCCCGACCGTGTGGTTCAAACTGACATTGCAGTCCAGCGCATTAACCCATAGCACGACACCAGGACTCCCATGCTAATGGATAAGAGGACTTAAAATTGTGAAAATGTCAACACTACTTAAAGCGATCTATAGATACAATGCAATCTCAATCAAGATTCCAGCATTATTCTTTAAAGAGATGGAAAAACTAATCACTAACTTTATATGGAAAGGAAAGACCCTGGATAAGCAAAGTATTACTAAAGAAGAAGAAAGTAGGAGGCCTCTCACTTCCCAATCGCAAAGCCTACTACACAGTCACAGTGGTCAAAGCAGCCTGGTAGTGGTACAAGGGAACAGAATTTAGAACGCAGAAGTGAATCTATCTGTGGGCAGCTGTTCTTTCTTTGACAAAGGGCCAAAACATATCAAATGGGAAAGAGATAGTCTCATTTCTCTTTGACAAATGGTGTGGGAAAAACTGGAAATCCATCTACAGAAGAATGAAACAAGACCTTACTTATCGTACACCACATACAAAATGAACTCATATGTGGATTAAAGACCTAAATATAAAACCTAGAACTATAAAGATCATCAATGAAAAAATAGGGGCAAACTTAGGGGCTCTGATACATGGAATAAATACACCATCAAACATAACTGAAAACACACAAACATCAAAAGACAAAACAGATGATTGGAACATCCTAAACATTAGACATTTATGTTCATCAAAAGAGTCAGCCAAAGAGTCAAAAGAGAATCTACAAACTGTGAAATAATCTTTTGGCAATAACATATCAGACAAAGGACTGTTGTTGTTAAGTGCCATCAAGTTGGTTCCGACCCATAGCAGCCCTGTATAGGGTTTTCAAGCTAGTACGCTTGAACCGCCAACCTTGCAGTTCAAACTGATTTTGCAGTTCAGCATATTAGCCCACAGCACCACACCAGGACTCCTCTCTAAAATTTACAGAAAATTCCAACACCACAACAAGAAAAAGACAAATAATATAATTTAAAAACGAACAGAAGGTAAGAACAGACATGTTACCAAAGAAGATATTCAGTCAGTCAACAAATATATGAAGAAATGCTCCTGATCATTAGCCATTGTTGTTGTTAAGTACTATTAGGTCAATTCCAAATCATAGTGACCCTGTATAGGGTTACTGAGGAGCAGCTGGTGGGTTTGAACTGCTGAGCTTGTGGTTAGCAGTCCAGCACTTATCCTACAGTGCCACATCAGGATTCAAAACAATGAGCTATCATCCCATCCCAGCATTAATAGCAAAATTAAAAAAAACAACAACAGAAAACAACAAATGCTGGCGAGTGTGTGGAGAGACTGGGACCCTCCTCCCCTTCTGATAGGACTGTAAAATGTGCAACACCTGTGGAAATGGCATGGTGTTTCCTCAAAAAGTTGTAATTAGATGGGACCATCAGGGGAGAAGAGCAGAGAGCAGGACCCTACCCAGCCGGAGAAGCAGTGACGCCAGAGATGGAGGCAGAGACTATGATGTGGAGAGATGGAGCAGATGGGGACTTTAGACCCAGGGAGGGAGAGGGGCTGTGTGCTGATGACCGGGGGTGGAGGTGGGGGCATGCTTGCAGGGTACCCTTTGGTTGGTTGATGATGAATGGAGGGGATTGTAACCATGGCAATGAAACAATATACGATAGGATGAATGTAAAACTAATGTTCTCCCATGTAAACTATCACATATTTCACAATAAAACATTTAAAAAACAATATAAAAAATAGAATGTAAAGAAAAAAAAATTGTAACTAGAAATACCACATGACCCAGCAATCCCTCTACTTGATATATATCCTCAAGGAATAAGAACCTTGACAAGATCTATGCACATCCATGTTCATCACAGCACTAGTCACAATAGCAAAAAGGTGGAAACAGTTTAAATAATTGTTGTTGTTATTAAGTGCCGTCAATTTAACTCCGACCCATAGCAACCTTGTATAGGGCTTCCAAGGAGCAGCTGATGAGCTTGAACCATTGACCTTGCAGTTTAAATGACTTTGTACTCTGACGCGTTAGCCCACAGCACCACACCAGGATTCCATCAGTGAAAGAAAGGGTGAACAAACTTTGGTACATACATACAATGTTGAAAAATAATGATGAATCTGGGAACCTGAGGGGCATAATGCTGAGTGAAGTTAAATAAATCAAAAGGACAAATATTATATGAGATCAGTTGTAGAAAGTCAAGAAAAGTTTTTCATACTGAAAGAAACATCCTTTGATGGTTACCAGGGATAGGAGGGAAGGGAGAGTAATTCACTGGTTATATTGTAGTAGTTGTTGTTGTTAAGTGCTGTTGAGTTGGTTCTGACTCATAAAGACTCTATATAGGTTTCCAAGGAGTGGCTGGTATGTTTGAACTGCCAACCTGTGGTTAGCAGTTGAGTGCTTATCCTAAAAAGCGCCACACCAGAACTCCAACAGAGACATCCAATGTAGGGTAGACACATGTTAACGGGTGACAGGGAAGGCAATATATAACAGCACTGGTAAGATATGCTCACTTGGCATGATAAACCATTCAAGACCAAAGGGCAGCATTTACCCAAGGACAAAGTTTGGAAGGGTTGGGAAAGAGGGTGGAATGAAAACAAGAATCACAGAGACAAAGTGGGATAAGTGATGTTACATGAAGGGGATTGCAATCTATTGAAATGAAAGGAAGTGTAGAATTTATTAATGTAAAACTGTTAAGTCTGTAAACATTCAATTTACAATAAAAAGTAAAAAAACAAAACAAAACAAATAAACAAAACAGGCTCACAGAGGGAAAGTGACTGGCCCAAGGAGTTACGGTAAGGCTGAGATCAGAACCCAAGTCTCCTGCCTCTCAGGCTACTGTCTAGAGACAGCACAAGACTCAACTCACAGACCAGGGAATTGAGGTCAGAGACATAGATACCAAAGCCATTCCCAGTGTGTGTGTTCTTTGTATGACACCAGGCTGCCTCTCTCTCTAAGCAGGGTGAGTCTCTAAGCAGGACTAGGAACCCACAAGGTCAGCAGTTGAAGCCCATCAGCCACTCATGGGAGAAAGATGAAGCTTTCTGCTCCTGCAAAGATTTACAGCCTCAGAAACCCTATATAGGGTCACTATGAGTAGGAACCGATTCAGTGGCACACGATAACAACATGCTGCTTCCCTCTCTCAGCAGGATGAGTCTGTAGGATGTGGCCTTGGCCAGAGTAAGAAGGTCTGGGTTCTGATGACAGCTTTGCCATCGATACTGGACAAGTGTTTTCTCTCTGGCTTTAGTTTCTTGTCTCTACAATGTGCCCACATCGCACTCTACAGACTGCACCTTCTAAAGATCACATATGAAGGACCACAGCAGAGCTCAGAGACATATCCTTGCCTCACATCAGTGCTGCAGGTAGGATAGGGCCCCAGTCCTCAACTTCTTAGGCCCCACTCTTCCCTTTGCTCCAGCGAGGGCTGGCATGAAATTCCCCTCCTTCCAACATACTCTCTTGGGTTTAGCTGGAGGATCAGAAATAAGTCTTTTATTATGTTATTTAAAAAGTCTCATGCTAGCCCACCTTCACCTTCACATATGTGCAGCTCCCTTGCACACCTGAGGCTATGGGTAGGTGGCAGGTGAGATAAGGCCTGGCTAACCTTTTCCCACTCCTGCTCCAGCCTTTAGCCCACCAGAGTTATGTCAGCAACGCCTGGCGCAGCATCTGCTTCTTCTGGGGTGTGAGGCGGGTGGGGAACTGGATGTCGAAGAAGATGAAGAGGTCCCCCTTCTTGGTGGGATCCTCAGGCAATGGCATCCCCTCACCTGACACCTTCTTGAAGTACTTGGGGCTGAGGTGGGAGGATCAAAGAAGGGAGATTAGAGGGCACCCCAGAGCAGAACCTCATCAGATACCTCATAACCTCAGAAATGGGGCAATCGCTACAGCTTACACCATAGAATGGCTCTTATCAGCCAGATCTGGTGGAGGGAAGAGGAGAACTGACTTGTCCCAGACAGCTTGGTCTCTGGACCCATTTATACCAGGTCTGAAGGAGGGTCCCAGAAAGCTTGTTTTACATATGGGAATGGGCTAGGGAAGGAGGGTGGGCAGACTCTGGATTGGAGTATGGAGTGCTGGGCAGCTGAGCAAAGCTTCCCATGCAGCAGCCCTTTCTTGGCAACTCAGAACTCTAGTGAGAGGTTCTAGAGCATGGTGTGGCAGGGACTGCTTAACACTGGAGGGCTCTTCAATGGCTTTGTGCAAATTAAAGGAAGATACACCTTTTGCCAGGTATGTGTAGGCCAAAGTGTGGGCTGGATGTTGGCCATCTCTTGCCTCCTCAGCTGGGCAACCTTATGCTGGGTACAACCTGCACAACTATATCATACCTGGCAGACCTGCCTAACACTACTGCCAAGGCCTCCCATTACCTAATGGGGTCCAAAAGAGATGGACTTACTGGATGATGTCATTGATGGGAATGTTGAGCAGACGGTCATCCAGAGTCTTCACCTCCACTGTGCAGCAGGTAAGAGCCTATGGAGGTTTGGGGCCAAAAGTGAGAGTGGGGAGGTCATTATGGCCAGTCTATTTAGAAAGCACTTTGTGAGTCTTTTCAGTGCCAAGTGACAAAAGGCTGCTCAAGGAATAACAGGCGAGTGACCCAAACAATCGCCTGCCCTTAAGGAGTTCATCCTCTGGTAGGTAAGACTGATGCTGATGTACCATAAGTATTAAGACATAGGGGGAGCCAAAGAGAAGCCCCAAGCCAATCTTGGAGTCAAGGAGGCTGCAAAGTGGTAGTCAATGTTGATGAGAGGTTTAAGGGTAGGAAAGACCTTACCAGTTAGACACCATGGGGAGACAGTTATCATACCCTTTAATCTGGCCCTGCATGATCAGGACTGACTCTCAGGTAGGTAACAAGGGACTGACTGCAGGTGGGGTGAGGGAGGGGAAATGAAATCTAGTCTGCTGATTGGGTAGTGAAGTCATTCACTCCCCTGATTGAAGACAACTACAAGGGTTCTGGTTTGGTTTCATTCTAAATCTGTGTGGCCGACTCAGCACATTCTGCATGCCGGGACTACACACTGGGATGAGTGGCTAGGACCCCTCCCCTCCCTCTCCTCCACTTTGCCCACTCACTTTGCCCAAGGGGATGGAGTTCACATAGAAGAGGTTGTCCATCTCCCTACGGAAGCGAGGGTGAAGCTTCTCCTTCACAATGAAGATGATGTCAGCTGGGATAATGTTGGGGCCCTGGGCAGAGGAGGCCAAAGGGTGGCAAGGATTAATTAGCTGTGTCATTTTGGCCAAGTTCCTGCCCCTAATGGTCACCATGTCTTCATCTGTACAGTGGGGACATTGGACCAGGTGTTCTGAAAGGGCCTTTGCAGCTTGAGCCCCCTGAGAAGCCTAATCAGTGGGTCTCCCTAGTGTTACTTATCTTCTACTGAGCATGCCCAAGATAGATGCACTCAGCTAGAGAGCCCCGAGGCTTCCTCAGACCTATTTCCTGGCAGTAACTCCATGCTGGGGTCTCTTCTGGGCACTGGGGACAGAGAAATCAAACTGTCCCTGACCCCAAAGGAGCTTCCCAGTCTAATGGGTGAAACGGACACTCAGTGACTCCCAGCATGCTTTATTCAGCCTGTGAAATCAAGACTGGGGAACTCAGGAGATTTAAGAAGGCTGTTCAGAGATCCCTGACCCCAAAGGAGCTTCTCAGTCTAATGGGTGAAACAGACACTCAGTGACTCCTAGCATGCTTCATTCAGCCTGTAAAATCCAGAGACTGGGGAACTCAGGAGGTTTAAGAAGGCTGTTCAGAGACTAAAGTATGGGAGCTGGGTTTGAAGAGTGTTTTTTGGAAACAGATGTTTTCTAAGTGAGAAGGGAGGCAAGAGGTATGAGCAGAGGAATTCATCTCTCTTGGCTCTGATTATTCTGCCATTCCGCCTCTTCTCAGGACTTGAGGACTCAGCATGTCCTGAACAACCATTTTACATTATTATGTAAAATTATTATTAATAAATGGTTTCTGAATTCCTCTCTGGTTAAGCTTTAATCAGAGAAGCACTGAAAAACATCAGGAAGAGCCCTAGAGTTAGGAGTGGGTTACTCTCTCAGCTTTTGCACTCTTGCTCTGGACAAGTTCCTTTCCTTTCTGGGCTGCAGTTACCTGCTCTGTAAAATGGGATGATTCTTGGGCTGCCCACTCACAGAAGCTCTTGGGAGGCTCTGCCCCTTGGAAGAGACATTAAAGATGACCACACCCATTCTTCAGACAGGTTTCCCTAGCACCCCAGGGTTCACAGGGCAAGGAGATGCACCACCTCCTTCCCCCTCAGTCTTCCCACCATCTGAGCTGAGGTGACTGACCCAAGGGTAGGGTAGCGTCACTGGCCTTTTTTCCCCCTCACCTGATCCCCTTCCTTCTCAAAGGTGATGCGTGTGCCTTGCCTCCAGCCAGGTTTTACATCAATTGTCAGGATCTTGTCCTTGATGGTAGAAGAATACCCATCCTCATTCAGCACCTGCAACAAAAAGAGTGGGGGGACAGGGCATTTGCTCAGGATTCCCATAAACACAGGCAACCAACTGGTCTTTTCACAAGACCAGATGCTCTGTGGGGTTTGTGTTCAATATCCTAGTCATCCCCACTCCCACCCTGTTGCTTATTGGACCAAGAACTTACGATCCAGACGGCAATGCAAGTCATGGGACTGGAACCGAGATGCCAAGCAGCTCCAGAAGTTGATCAAGCCTACAACTCCAGCTATAGAAGTCATGTGACCCAGGCCACTAACAGATGCTCAGGAAAATTGTGCTCAGTTCCTCTTTCCCAGCCCCAGAGGCCCTGGACCTGAGCCTCTGTAGTACAGGTCTCCTAGCAGGTCCTGGCTGAGCAGGGACAGAGGGCAAGAAATTTAATCCCAGAGGGAGAAAGACTATTGTTGTCAGGTCATCGAATCTGTTCCAACATATAGCAACCTTATACACAACAGAATGAAACACTGTGGTCCTGTGGCAACCTCAAAATCATCGTTATGATTGAGCTCAGTGGGGTTCATGTGTATAGTCAACTTTTCTTTTTTTCCCATTTACAAAGGAATGTGTGTTTTTGTTTCTAATTTCATTTTGCAGGCAGGAAAATGCAATCATTTCTCTTCAACTCCATCCAATTACAAGCTTTCAAGAGGGAACCTAGAGCCAGGGGGCCTGGAGGAAGGCAGAATCTCCAGTAAGTAGTATCCAATCTGTCTAGGCGGAGCTGATGAAATGAAATGCAGATGGGTCTCTTGTGATACAATAGTGAATAATTGTTATCAGGACTGATTGTGAGGATTGGAAATGTAAA